TTTTGATTACAGATTCATCTCCCATGCTGGTGATCAATCTTCAAATTGTTTATTTCTTCCTGATCTAGTTTGGAGAGGTTATATATTTCTTGGAATTTATCCATTTCTTCTAGGGTGTCCAACTTGTTAGCATATACTTCTTCATAATAATCTCATAACCCTTGCTATATCTGTGGTATTATTTCTGTTTCTGTTATTTTTGTTTTGGTTTCTGTTATTTCTCCTCTTTCTTTTCTAATTTTGTTTGAGTCTTCTCTCTGTCTCTGTCTCCCCCCCCCTTTTTTTTGGATGAGTATGGCTAAAGGTTTATCAATTTTGTTGATCTTTTCAAAGAACCAGCTCCTGGTTTCCTTGAGTTCTTCTCTTGTTTTTTAGTTTCTTTTATTTATTTCTTCTCTTTATTACTTCCTTCCTTCTGGTTTTGGGTTTTGCTTGTTATTTTTCTAGCTTCTTTAGGTGTAAAGTTAGATTGTTTGAGATTTTTCTTGCTTCTTGAGGTTGGCTTGTACTGCTATAATCTTCCTTAGAACAGATTTTGCTACATCCCAAAGATTTTGGATCATTGTGTTTTCATTTCATTTATCTCCATGTATTTTTTGATTTCTTGGTTGACCCATTCATTGTTTAGTAGCATGTTATCTAACCTCTATGTATGTGTCTTCTTTCCAGATTTTTTCCTGTAGTTGGTTTCTAGTTTCATAGCATTGTAGTTGGAGTAGATGCACAAGATGACTTCAAACTTTCAAAATTTGTTGAGAATCATTTTGTGGCCTAACGTGATCTATTCTGGAGAATGTTCGATGTGTGCTTGAAAAGAATGCCTATTTCACTGTTTTAGGATGGAAAGTTCTGAGTATCTCTTAGATCCATCTGGTCCACTGTGTCATTCAAACACTGTTTTCTTGGTTTTATTCTTTGGATGATCTATCCATTGATTATGTGGGGTGTTAATGTCCCCTACTATTATTGTTTTACTATCAATTACTCTCTTTATGTATGTTAATGGCTGCTTTATGTGTTTGAGTGCTCCCATGTTGGATGCATAAATATTTACAATTGTTGTATCTTCTTGTTGGATTATTGTTCCCTTTATGATTATGTAGTGTCTTTGTTTCTTGTTACAGTCTTTGTTTTCAAGTCTACTTCGTCTGAATTAAGTGTAGCTACCCGGGTTTGCTTTTCACTTCCCTTTGCATGATAAATGCTTTTGCATCTCTTCACTTTCAATCTGCATATGTCTTTAGGTCTGAAATGAGTCTTTTATAGGCAGCATATAGATGGGTCTTGGTTTTTTATCCATTCTATCACCCTACGTCTTTTGATTGGAACATTTAGTCCATTTACATTCAAAGTAATTATTGACAGGTAAGTAACAAATATCAGTAAGTACATGTTTTATGGTTGTTTTTGTAGTTCTTCTCTGTTTCTTTCTTCTCTTACTCTTTTCTCTCCTGGTTTGCTGGCTTTCTTTAGTGATATACCTGGATTCCCCTCTCTATTTTTTGTATATATATTACTGGTTTTTGTTTTGTGGTTACTATTAGGTTGATATGTAACATCTTATACAAATAGCAGTCTATATTAACTTGCTGGTCGCTTAAGTTTGAACCCATTCTAAAAGCACTAAATTTTTATTCCTCTCCCTGTCACATTTTAAGTATATGGTGTCATACACACTTTATATCCTTTTATTTTGTGAATCTCTTGACTGATTTTTATAGACATACTTAATTTTACAGGTTTTTTGCATCCTACTTTTCTTACTCCTGCTTATGGTCTTTCCTTCCATTCACAGAGTCCCCATTAACATTTCATGTAAGGCTGATTTAGTGGTCATGAATTCCTCCAACTTTTGTCCATCTGGCAAACTCTTTCTCTACCCTCTTTCGTTCTATTCTGAATGATAGTTTTGTTGGATGGAGTATTCTTGGTTGCAGGTTTTTCTATTTCAGCACTTTGAATATATCATGCCACTCCCTTCCGGCCTGAAATGTTTCTGCTGAAAAATCAGCTAGTTATCTTACAGGGTATTTCTTGTATGTAACTACTTTTTTTTCTTGCTGCTTTAAAAAATTTTTAGCACTACTTTTTGCCATTTTAATTACCATGTGCCTTGGTGTGGACCTCCTTGGGTTTTGATTTTGATGGGGGTGCTTTGTGCCTCCTGAATCTGGATTTCTGTTTCCTTCTCTACATTTGGGAAGATTTCAGCTTTATTCCTTCAAATAAAATTTTCTCCACCCCCCCACCCGTCTTCTCCTTCTTGAATCCTTATAATGCAAATGTTATTACACTTGATGATGTGGTTGAGTTTCCTTAATCTATTTTCATTTTTTTTAAATGAATTTTTTTCTCTCCTGTTCAGCTTGATTGCTTTCCATTACTCTGTCCTCCAAGTCACTGATGTATTCTGCTTCCTCTCGGGTACTATTTTTTCCCCTCTAGTGTTTTTTTTTTTTTTTTAAGATTTTATTTATTTATTTGACAGAGAGAGACACAGCGAGAGAGGGAACACAAGCAGGGGGAGTGGGAGAGGGGGAAGCAGGCTCCCCGCAGAGCAGGGAGTCTGATGCGGGACTCGATCCCAGGACCCTGGGATCATGACCTGAGCTGAAGGCAGTCGCTTAACCAACTGAGCCACCCAGGCGCCCCCCTCTAGTGTATTTTTAACTTCAGTTATTGAGTTCTTCATCTCTGATTGGTTCTTTTTTATGTTTTCTATCTCTTTGTTGAGTGTCTCACTGAGTCCTTCACTCTTTTCTCCATTCCAGTAAGTATGTTTATGACCATTACTTTAATTCTCTATCAGGCATATTGCTTATCTCTGTTTCATTTACCTTCCTTGTGATTTTTGTCCTGTCCTTTCATTTGGGACACATTCTTCTGTCTCCTCATTTTGTCCAACTCTCTGTGTCTGTTATCTATGTGCTATGAAAGTCAGCTACATCTCTGGCTCTTGAAAGTCATGGACATATGAAGAGGTGGTCCTATAGTGCCCTGCAGTAGAATGCCCCCTGTTCACCAGACCCTGGCATTCAGGGGTATCTCCTATGTGTGTTGTGTGTGCCCTATTGTTGTGGCTGAGTCATATATACCTTCAGTTTAGTTGTCTGCAAAGTTTCTCTGCCTATTGTGGGCAGGGTTTGGTCCCTGTGTTGTTAGGGCCAGTCTGGGGTTACCATGGGCTTGATTTTGGTCAGCACAGAGGTTTGCCAGAGCTGTGATCACAATGAACTACAGGCATTCTCCCTGCGTTGACCCCTGGGAGGCTTTCATTGGTGGGTGAGGCCTGCAGTCAGACCAGATATTTGCCCACTGCTGGGTTCACAGTTGAACTAATGTGTGTGTGATTATTTTTCCCTTTCTTTGGGGCAGGAGTCAGTTTGGAGTGGTGCTGGTACACTGGGGCTGCTTGCATAATGCCAGGTTTGTGACACTGCTTTACATGAACTCCTGCTAAGTGGAGTGGTTGGGAGAAGGTAGATCCAAAGGGGAACATGGGGATGGGGCACATTGTTAGCAAGCTAAGTGGAGAGTGTGTGTGTACTTTGCTGGTCCTTGTAGGTATCTGTTTATCTAGAATGGGATTGAGGGAGGAAAATGGCCCTGACAGCACTTTTGTTTTTGAAGAAATCTCCTAGCACATGTTCTGAGATTAGTAAACCTTCTCATACACTTATACTGCTGCTTCCATGATGTATCCCAGTGGGGCTGTTTGTTTGTTATGCTGTCTCTTTAAGGGTGGGGACTGATTCCTATTGCCCTCTGGCTCTCCTAGAGCCAAGCCGCTGATTTATAAAGTTCCAGGTGTTGAGTCTTGCTGATTGTAAGACTTGTGAGGTTAAGACTCTCTGGTTTTCAAAGCCAAATGTTAAGGGGATTCATCTTCCCAGTGCAGGTCCCCTGTGTCTGGGGTATCTGGTGTAGGGTCTGTTGCTTTCCTTTCTCCATGCTTGCGGTGTCCCTCCCATGGACAGTGTCATGGGTCAGTTTGATTCCTGACCTGTCTCCGCCCTTCCTACCATTTTTGATGTGGTCTCTTCCCTACATTTAGGTGTTGAGAGTGTGTTCTGCCAGTTTTCAGGTTGCTTTCTGGGTTATTTACACTGATGTGGGTGTTATCTAGGTGTAACCATGGGACAAGGTGAGCTTAGGATCTTCCCACTTGGCTATCTTTCCTGGAAGTTATTTCATTTAAATATTGATCTTCTGGTTGCACCCCTCTCTCTGGTTACCTGTCTATCACCAATAGCCTGAAAGCTCCAGAAAAGTATTCTTTTGGGGGGGGGGTTTGAGGGGGGAGGTTGGGCAGAGGGAGAGGGAGAATCTCAAGCAGACTCCATGCTGAGTGTGGAGCCAGACGTGGTGCTTGATCTCAAGACCCTGAGATCATGACCTGAGCCGAAATCAAGAGTCAGATGCTTAACCAACTGAGTCACCCAGGTGCCCCAAGAACATTTTTTAAGATAATTTTTTTACTTTCTCTATTGACTAAAAGCATCAGTCTTCAAAACATGCCACTTTTGACCAGTAAGTGCAGATATTTATACTTAGATACAGGCCTGGCAGAAACAGAAGTTATCTGTGGCACAGGCAGAGCAGCAGAACAGATTTAAGCCCTTCAAGCAACTCAGCTTTCCAACACCCACTTTGTATGTGTCCCACCTCCAAAAGGCTAGTACAGTTTGAAAATTCTGCATATTGTCAACATTTGCTTTATGTCTTAAAAAAAAAAAAATCACAAAATACACCTCTTTGGGGAACTTCCTCTTGAAGGTTTGGCTTTTGATACTCTGTCACACTTACTAGAACTGCACCCCATCTATACTTGAGGTGATTATATTCTGGAGTCAGACAGCATGAAGAGAACTTGACAAGCTCTGAAATAAGAAAACTCGGTGATTCTCCTTCAGAAATTTCTTCTACTTCTGCTCATTTTAAATCTCAGGGATATTGAAAATAGTTTATATCTTTCAAAGTGAAGCATTACATTGGCTTACCTTTTTCTTTGACAAAGTCCTTTTGTACCTCTGGGATCAGGAAACTATAAACTAACTCAGCAACAATCTCCTCTGACTGAAGCTGAGTTCGACTAAAAAAAAAACAAAAACAAAAAAACAATTTCCTTTGTTGCCTTGAGCTGCTGATTTCTACTTAAGTTCTCCTTGCTTGTGTAAGGGACTCCACTGCTCAAATCCCACCACTGCCTTTTCCTTGATTAAGTTGTCTGAAATATTGTACTTCTGATGGGCTTGGTTAACTTCATGCAGATTCAGATTTGACCCTGTTCTTCAGTTAACCTGCCTGCCAGGAAGGGAATGTTAGAGATATAATTTATACAGGAAGCCAAAACCTTTGGAGTGGAGTAATATTGCACATAATTACTCACATTGCTTTCGTGCTTTGTGGTATTCTAAAAGTAATATGTTAGTGATCCAGACTGCAGAGGATAACTGAAAATTCTACTCCCAGCACTCCTGCCTCACAAAGGTTTAGGCATGTTGACTTCTAAAGAGTTATGCAATTAAAACAATGGACACTGAAGCAGGAGATATATACTTGTTTCTCCTTGGTGGTAAAATCTAAAGCTCTTGGAAAATACATATGAGTAACAGCAAATGGGCTGTCCATTCTGCCATCTGCTCTCTTGTACCAACCGAATCTCCATTTCATAAGCAATGTCATTGATTTCCTCAGCCATCTTCTCAATTTCTGCCCTGGCTTGTTCTTCTGCCGTGCTCTCTTCGGTATTCAGTATTATGTCTTCCAGATAGGAAGTTACAGTGCTTTGGTGAACTTTAATCACCTGCAAAAAATAAAAATACCCCTGTTACTGAGAACAGGAATACTACTGTAAACAAGACCAAAAAAATGAACAAACATTGGCTGACCTATTTCTTTCATTAAGTCAATAGTCCCCTCATTAATCATTCCTTTTTTTTTTTTTTCCTGTCTGGTCAGTTTCTAGCCCACCTACCTACCCATTTTGGGCAGCCCCCATCCATCTAGCCCATTTTAGAATTATGGGTCTTACTTAGGGTGGGCAATACAATGCTGCAGAAAGATCATGGGCTTCAGGCAATAACCCTATTTTGGATCCTGGCTTTGTTCTTTCCAGCAATGTGACTTGGTCAAACTACCCAACTGTGGCAGAAACTAAGAGGTATTTCCCAATGTCCTTTCTCCCCTTCCTCTTTGTAACAGAGCCCCTGAGTTTTAGCTGCGCCAACACATGTCTAGAATAAAGATTACATTTCCTAGTAACCATAGTTCTGGTTGAGGGAGTACAGGCAGTCATCTGTGCACTTTCTAGAAAGGATTCTTTTTTTTTAGAGAGAGAGCACAACCAGGTGGGGGAGAGAGATAATCTTAAACAGGCTCCACCCAGCGTGTAGCCCGAGGCAGGGCTCAATCTCACAACCCTGAGATATGACCTGAGCTGAAATCAAGAGTTGGACACTTAAAGATTTTATTTATTTATTTGAGACAGAGAGAATGAGAGAGACAGAGAGCACATGAGAGGGGGGAGGGTCAGAGGGAGGAGCAGACTCCCTTCAGAGCAGGGAGCCCGATGTGGGACTCGATCCCGGGACTCCAGGATCATGACCTGAGCCGAAGGCAGTCGCTTAACCAACTGAGCCACCCAGGCGTCCCAAGAGTTGGACACTTAACCAACTGAGCCACTCATACGCACCTAGAAAGGATTCTTAAAGGGAGAAACCTAGCTTATTTTTTTTTCTCTTTTCACTTCTCATTTCATGGGGACATAATGCTGGAGCACCAGAAGTCATCTTAAACTGCCATGAGGACCATGCCTCAAGGACAGAAAAGTAGAAAGCTAGAAGGATTCTGGGTCTCTGATGAATTTTTGAACTATCATATGCTGGACTGCTGCTTTTTTAAGCTTTCTGAAATTGTGAACTAGAACACACATTTTCAAAAGTGCACAGTGAGAGATGTACTGTGCACTGAATTAGGGGAAAGCCAGTACCCATGCAGCCCCTGCTAGAATTCTAGAAGGCCGCTATGGGTTCTTCCTGACCACAGATCCTCTCTACTGTCATGATTTTATGGTAAACATTCCCTTTTCTTTTCAGTTTTCCTAAGTATGCAATCATAAATAGCTAGAATATGGATTATAGACTGTTACACATTGTAGATGATCTGCCACTGACCACATGTAACTCAAAAATTCTTAAGCTGTGTAGAGGGAGAGCAATCTGTTTGGTTTAAAAAAAAAACTTGAAACACACACACAACAAATACTATTCATGAATCAATCCTAATTCCATAAGAATTGGGTAAATCCTGAAAATCTCAGATCAAGTAAGAAGATCTCAAATGGACGCATTTTTTTTTTTTAAACTGAGTATCCGCACATACAATTCAGACAGCCCTCTTCAACAGGAAATTTTTTAAGGTCCAGGTTGGTTCTCTCTCTCTTTCCCATGTGGCCCACATCTGGTCCAGGGGAGACCCCCACACAGCCTTCGCCTTGACATACTCTGGGTGTGCTAGCCACCCATACGACCTCATGTGTGCCCACCTCCAAAGCAGCCAGCTGGCCCAGCTCCCCTCCTCTCCATTCTTAGGGGGTCAGACACCCTAAATGAAAGAATACATATCAAGCTCGCAATGACTACAGGAAAAGAAACCAACCTCTGGGTGTGTTTTGGTGTGTGTGTGTGTGTTGGGGAGTAGGATGGGTAGTCATAGCACAGTTCGCTTTAAAGGAATCTTCTTCATAAATCCCCTCCAATTTTAACGCTTGAGCTCTTCTATTCTTGATGAGGGTGAGTGCTTTGAGATATTACCAGCTCCTTGAACTTCCTCTGAATTTACATCTTGCTCACTTTGCAATTTCATACCCATTATGTCTTGGTCAGAATTCCAATTTACCAACCTGGTGCTCTAGTTTATATCTTTAGCTAAAACCTCTCTTCTAAATTCCATCTTGTTGATCCACCTGCTGAAATGACACCTCCACTAGAATGTCTCGAACCTAATAAAAATCAAATTCCTGATTCCACCCCTGCCCCTAAATTAATTCCATGCTCCGCTTTCCCACATCAAAAAACAGTACTATCATCTCCCCAGTTGCTTAAGCCAGAAACTGGACATCTTCCTTGACTTCTTCCTGTTTCTCATTGGCCTTAACCACTTCCACAGCCTCTTTCCTGATCTCCTTGTTTCCACTCTGTCCTCCTTCCAACCTATTCTCCACACAGCAAGCAGGGTAACCTGTTTAAAATGTGTCACTGGGCCCCACCTGTTTGCTTCAGGAAACTTACTATATTTTCTAATTCTACACATATTTGCATGTTAGACAGTAATTAAGCTCCAGGAGAAAAGGGACCATGTCTGGTTTCTCCCCTCCGAAGTATCCCACAGTGCCTAGCATATCGTAGGAACTCAATACATATTTGTAGAACACAATGAAAAACAAAAAACAAGTGCCATTTCATATCATGAGTTTCCTCTGGTTTGATTTGGCTCCTTACAAGTAGCTTCCAGACATCCAGCTGCACCCCCACTTGCCTCCTTAAATATCTGGTCCTCCTCCCGCAGGCGCCTTTGCTCGACTTGGCGCCGACCACTCTCTTCAGCTTCTCGCATCCTCCGCTGCCGCTCGGCCAGCATGGCAAAAGCATGGATCCTCCTCTCTTCCTGCAGTCTCACAAGCTCTTTAGACAGGAAGTCAAACATGTCCGCCAGCGCCCTTCCTTCCAGTCCAGCCAAGTGGTTTTCAACCAGTGAGACCTTAAAAATAATAGTAAATTTTCAAGGATACAAATTCTGCTAAGCATGGGAATGTATAAGGAGGGATGCTGGATTACCCAGAACTGGTGACAGTCACTTCACTTTCAGAATGCACTTAGTGTTTATTAGGAATATTATCACTAGGTTGGCGTCATCCCAAGGGCTCTTACTAAGAAAACTTATGATACAAACTTAGACATGAGAAAGTGGATTGCTCAGTCACTGACAGATTACAGCCCTCAAATTATGAGGGGGATTTAGCAAAACATTTGTTAATATCCACACAAATTGATTTTCTTCTTTCATTTTTATCCAGAAGGTACTTCTATCTTCCCAGACATGAAGGGAAATGTCAAGGTTTTTATTAAAAAATTTTTCTGGAGTTCAATAAAAAAGAGTCTTCTAGAAATTCACTCATGACACCTTTTAATTTTTTAATCCTTGGTCCTTTGACACAAGTTTGGGGAATTCTAAGATCTTGAATAACATGAAAGTAGAAAACTGTGGTACTATATTCTTTTAAATAACTTCAAAGTCATTAAGAACTACCTTTGAAACAGAGCAGGAAAAAGCCTACATGTCTATGTAATCATTGAGGTAAAGTCGGGGCCTGGAGTTCTCTGGCAGGAATAAGCCACAGTATCTATTTATGGATCCGTCTGTCCTGGCTTTGACACATGGAGAATAAAAGTGTTTAAGAAGATTGAATCCTTTGCAACTTCATCTTGTTCCTTTTCCTATCCTTAGGTCTAAGGGAAAGGGCCCTTCTCCCAGTCATATGCTCCCTCAGCCTTGACAGTTCTTGCTATGCTGGGTTCTTCTCTGGTTTGTATCCAAAGGGAGGAAACCCACATAGGTCTCAAAGGTGGTGAGGCTACCACGTGAGACTGTCATTCAAGCGTGGACGTTAGCCCCAACACCCTCCCTCGCCTCCTCCCAGCCCACACATACTTCCTAACCACAAAGTTCAGCTTTACTTATATGATAGGGAGAGGTGGAAAGAAAGGGCCACACTAAGAGTGCCTCACATTTATAAACAGTGGTCATTCAGCCCAGAGACCACAAACGGATTCTCTCCTTGTCTCAGGATTACAAGCTCCCTCAGCTGGGGGGGCAGATGCAACCTTTAAAATCCCAAAATGGCTACCTGTTCACATGCAGCCCCCTCCCTCAGCAAGAAATTTGAGTATGCTAAGGTAGTGTAATCTAATTTGAAAATTAAGTAAAAATATTTAGGAAGGTGATTTTTCTGTGATCATATCATGCAGTGCATTACATAATTGGGAACTGTGCATTTTCTGTACTATTCCCCATAGAAAATAGGAGGAAAGGAGATAGAAGTGAGGTGCCCCCTCCCTCAGACTCCTGCATATCATTGGTGTATCTAGGTACAGCGGAAGGTAAGCAGGGCGAGTCCTTTGTTAAGTGACAGCTCTCTTTCCATTAACTCCTCCTTTAGCTCTTAGCTCGCATGATATCCTACTAACTGGGACATATGGGTAAAAAGCCTGGACTGGCTTAGGTGCACCTGCCAATAAAGTCTATAATTAGAAATTTCGAAGGGCCAAGAAGGGCATTTTTCTATCCTGTTGCTTCCAGGGCATTCTGCTCGCATCTGAACAGAAGCACAGCCCTGTCTCTATCATTTCCAGGACCCTCAGACATCCAGATTCAGAGACTCTGGTGTCACATTCCATTCTTTCTCTGTCCCTCCGTTGGGTCTCACAGCCTGTGGCTTTCTTCTTCCCTCCCCTACACCATCAACCCCAAACTCAGAGACCATCCACAAGCCTGGTGTCACGTAAAAGGAATAACGTGCTCATTTTCAAGCTGCTTACCCTTTGTGCCCAGTCCTCCATGGCACAAGCGTTATGTGCATTACTAAGGGTGGGTTATATTAACTTCACTATTAGCTTTCTTATAACACTAAACTCTCTGTAAATTGATTCTTTCTCATGTTGATTTACAGGTAAGTGGGAGAGATAGTAAAAGCATGTCTACTCTGTAGTCAGCACCATTAAAAACTGTATACATGGACAAATGGCAGAAGAAAATAGGAAAACATCTGCAATTGTTGGGGTAAAGAGGCAATTAGCAGCTGTGGTCAGGTGACATTGATGAAAGTCAGAGAATACCATGAGATATCAACATATTTAATATGCAGTTTAACCAGCTCCAAAACTCATAAACAAGTGCCGATATTTTGAAATAAATCTTGTGTCTCTTCTTTTTTGCTTTTATTACTTTTCATTCTGCTGAGCTCCCACTAAAATACAGTAGAATCACCAAATATTTAAGAAAATTGGAAGGAAAAACCTTTTTAAAATGTGGTGTTTCTTTTTTCCTTTTTTTTTTTCTTGCAAATAAAATAAGACCATATTCAGTTCAGCGAGGGCACACCCCATTCCAATTCTGGACTGAGGCAGCACTGTTTAAAAACCCGGCTGGGACAGAGTGATGGGCCTGGGGGTATGTTTCTTTTTTGTCATTTCATTTACTGTTGTGATACTGCCACTTGTGCAAGAATAAAGATCCGGGGGGACAACACAAGGAGAAAGAACAGGAAAGAACCTTGTGCTCGTGCAAGTTCCTCTGCCGCTGTAAGGCCAGTGTCACCTGCTTCTCGGCTTTCTTCAGCAGCCTGTCGTCCTCTTGCAGTGCGTGGCTGGTGCGCAGCTCCTGGATCAACTCCAGTCGCTTCTCCTTCCCTTCAAACATCTGTATCAAATCAAATCAGAAAGAGACTTGCGAGTTGGCATCCCCTGTGCGCGGCGCTAGGACTCATGCAGTGACTGGTGAGGCACTTGCGAACGGGGGGCTCGGTCCTGCCTTCCCGCCCGAGCAGGGATGCTCCCCAGAGCTGAGAGTTCTCCTGCTGCTCAGGTCGAGAAAGAGCTTACTTAGCAGTTGTTTACTTGATTTCTCAAAATGCCTCTCCAAGACAAAGCGGTTACTATAGGGTCATATTAAGAAGCTAGACCCTCCCCTTCATTTTCTGTGCTCCTTCCCTAAGACGCCTGAGGATGGTATTTTTCATAGCCATGCTTTCTTTACCAAGAGATCTGCCCCTGGTTTGTAATACGTAATGTGTTGTGACATTTTTCCTGGGGAAATAAGGAGAGTAGAGAATAATGCTGAACACAAGATGCTCACCCAGCTTCCCTGGACATACTAATTATAACTGAGTCTCCTATGAGTTACAGCTGTATGAGGAGAAAAAAATTTTTTTTGCTGATGCTTTGTAATCAGTCCATTTTAAAATTGAAGTGTGCTTGCACAAATAATGTGGCGAAGGCTTTACAGTCAGGAAGACCAGAGTTGAATTTGCTACCAGGTAATATAATCTCAAACTCACACTGCTTGCCTATAAAATAGGATAACTCATAGAAAAAAATGAGATGATCTATGTGAAGCAAAGAATATATAATGTGAGCTTATAGAATGGGTTCAAAACTCTAGTTAGTATTACTTAGCTATTTATCATTCAGGTATTGCTAGCTATATACAAACTCAAATAATTATGACTTTGTGGAAAGTTAGGGAATCCACTTGGTCTGTGATGCCTTAATAGTCAAAATTCAGAAGCACCTGGCTGGCTCGGTCAGTAGAGCACACAACTCTTGATCTCGGGCGGTCATGAGTTCAAGCCCCATGTTGGGTGTAGAGATTACTTAAATAAATGAACTTTTTAAAATAAGTCCAAGTTCAGGTAAGAAAATTGGTGGATTTAGTGATTCTAAGGAAGATATTAATTTCACTTTGCCTCGGTTACAACTGTGACGAACAGCAGGCAGGTCCTTTCTCCCCTTGACACTGCCACCCACTTGGGCAAACTGTGACAGTAGAAGGAAATGGGTAGGTAATTCAAGAGTATATAGTTCCAGGGGCACCTGGGTGGCTCAGTCATTGAGCGTCTGCCTTCGGCTCGAGTTGTGATCCCAGGGTCCTGGGATCGAGCACCGCATCGGGCTCCCAGCTCCGCGGGAAGCCTGCTTCTCCCTCTCCCACTCCCCCTGCTTGTGTTCCCTCTCCCACTGTGTCTTTCTCTGTCAAATAAACAAAATCTTAAAAAAAAAAAAAAAAAGAGTATATAGTTCCATCAGACAGCAGGGTGCAAGAGGGAATTCACCCCAAGGAACCGAGTACATATGCATTCTATAAATCTATTCTCAAAGGAGAAACACAGGACCAGTGGTTGGACCCTACGCACCGTGTTCTGAACGACTCTTCCCCGGAGTAACTTTTGAAGGTAGATCACAGCCATCTCTATATCTTCTTCTTCCTAAAAGAACAAAGTAAGAACCAAGCAGCTTGAGAAGAGCAACGGTCAGCATCAATTTTTTTTTGAAAACTTAGATCAAGCAAAAGACACTGTGCTAGATGCCAGAAAGATTTAAAGAGGAATAAATAAGGCCTACACTCTCATTGAACATACAGTATCTTAAATGTTACTTACTGTATTGTTAAAATTATTTTTTATCATAAGACATCATTAAAAAATCATAGCAAAAGCAAAAAATTCATTCTAATCTCTATACTCCTTTCTAGTAAAATCTTTCTTGAAGCAACAAGTATTGCTTATAACATCCATTTTGCAATAGTTTTTTCATGTTTAATCGCAAGTAGACAAGGACTACAGCTAGTCTGTGTCAGAGTCTAGAGTAAGGTGCTTCTCACAAGAATTTAGATAAGATGGTAAAATCAGAATGGACAAGACTAACCATCTACAAAAATCACCTTAAGTAACTATGTGTCAAAAGCAGAAAGCAGAGCCTGCAAATCAACTTAAAGTGGCTCTGAATGCAAAAGAAAGCAACGGCAATCAACAGCATAAACACATGCAAGACAATGTGTTAACCACAGGGAGTGACTGGGACAAAGTCTAGAAAGGGGGATGTCCAGAAGCACATACTGGCCAGTCAGTGGGAGTAGTGGAGCAATGTCTCCGCACAGGTGACCCTTCAGGAGCGCTAATGAGATCTCCTGTTAACATCCCTCCCTCTGACAAAGCACATTCTCAATAGGATCTGGCGTCTTGTGAGAACTGCCCTATACTGGGAGACAGTGGGCTGAGGAGAAGGGCTGCTAAGAAGAATATCCTCATCTACCAGGCAGGCAGTTATCCTTCTGTCAAGCAGTACATCTGTACTGTGGCATCTCTAGCAGTTTCTTGGGGAGGGGGTTGCTGTCTAGTCCAAGTCTGTCCTTAATCCTGACTGACTCTGGTACCCTGCCCAAACTGAGTCTGGAGATCTATGAAGGTGAGGTATGACCCTGGTCAGGGTGAACTCTTTGAGCCAGTCTATCTCAGAAGCCAGACTGTCCTCATGACATCTCTGGCACTTCACTCCTCTCTCACGCCAGCTGTCATAGCCACCTCCCCATGTGGTAAGATGGTTATGGTAACTGATCATCATTCGACCTTTTTTTATTTGACATGCATGAGGATTACCTTCTGATGCCTATTTTTCTTAGGAAGATTTCATTTTGCTTATTTGTGTGTGTCTGATGTTGAAGCATAAGAAGAAATGCCATGTAAGTCAGATCTTGAAAAGGTAACCCTGTTAAATTACATTTGTTTTTAACCCAAAGTATAAGAATAAACAGACAGCAATACTGGATTTAGCATTTCAAATAAAGTTTCAAACTTACATTGGAACTCATTTCCAAGGTTGGAGTTGGAAGCCGAGGTTGAGGTAGAGCCTTTCTTTGAAGAAAGCGCAGAACTTTCTTTGGTTCAAGAACTCTATTCTTCTTATCCAATATTGCCTGGAATAATACCAACTAGTGTCATTTACCTCCTTTGTATTTTCTTCCACTACTCGATCTAGGCCACAGATCGAATATCGATCAGAAATAATCTTCACGGAGCGCCTGGGTGGCTCAGTCTGTTAAGCCGCTGCCTTCGGCTCAGGTCATGATCCCGGGATCCTGGGATCGAGCCCCGCATCAGGCTCCCTGCTCAGCGGGGAGCCTGCTTCTCCCTCTCCCTCTGCCTGCCTCTCTGCCTACTTGTTCTCTCTCTCTCTCTGTCAAATAAATGAATAAAATCTTCAAAAAAAAAAAAAAAGAATCTTCACTATGGCTATGCTAGGACAGTTTGAGAAAGGCCAAAACTGGGTGCCTGTATGACCCAAGGGATGGTATGATATTCCCTAAACATCAGCTAACATTGAATAAACCGGGTACCTATTTTTATCCATCTTAATCAAAGATTTGGAGGATTTAAAAAAGATTTTTTTTTGAGATTTTAAAAGGTTTTGTTGCGTGTATGCAAGCAAAACCCCCAACTCCTATTCCTCCACAAGAGCCAATTAGCTGTTTAAAATAAGTGCCTGGGCAATAGAAAATTTCCCTGTGCCACAAATGACGGAAATATTGGTATGGAACTGAGGAACATTAAATGGCAATTGTCTCCTAGTGAAGAAAGAGCTTTCCTTTGACTGTGAAGGCCTGCACCTCACGTTTTCTGAAAATGAACTTGTTTCCTTGTGAAAGAGTGTGTGTGTGTGTGTTTTGATTTCAACATACATTTTTATTGATTTTACTTTTGATCACCAAAAGTCCCCCAAATTATATATGACCTAAGGTTTTGTTCATTGGTTCTATTTTCATCCATAGGGAGATACTTTTAACTTAAAAATATCAAAAAGTCTGATCTCTGTCATTTAAAGATCATACTTTAGAATTATGTTTTTCATCATATAATTTTTACATTAGTTTTCTCACAGACAACAGAGAGAAGTGATCAAATAAGCACTAAGCCAAAACTTGAAATTAATAAAAATAGGCAAGTGGAGTAAAATTTGAAACCACAAGAAATTATTGTGGTTTTAACAGAACCCCTGAGTTTCTACAAAATAAAACTGACACCAAATACATAACAGCTCTAATATAGACCAGCTCTACAATAACCACAGCCACTGAATCACCAGGAAGCAGCAGCAGGCTAAAAACGAGTAATTCTAAACTCTGGCATCTCTTGAGTGCGTTGCCCTGAAGAGCACCACATGAGACCATTTTAAGACCAGTCATTCATAATACGTTGGTAAGGATCTGGGAAAACAGGCACTCTCACACATTCAGCAATTAGTACATCACTTATGTAAGAAAATTTGTCCGTAGCCATCAAAACTATAAGTGCAGGTATATTGTGGGCCAGCAATTCATGTCTAGGAATCCTCTTCTAGATATGTTCATACATGTACCAAACTATATGGAAACAAGATTACTCAATGCAGCATTATTTTTGATGCAAAAATGTTGGGACAATACAAATATCCATCAAGAGGGAACTGGGTAGATGTGGTACATTTATATGATGACATATCGTGCAAAAAAAAATGATGTAACACAATTATGGGATAATGTCCAAGATATATTAAATAATAAAAGCACAATAATAATAAAAATACAGAACAGTGTGTATTATATATTAACATTTGGGTAAAAAAGTTTAAGAAGATACTTACAGGTATTTGTATTTTTTTATATATTTCTAAATATACACATACACATGTGCATATCTCTACACATAGAGAGCTATATAGATACAAATATATTTGCTTGTATAGAGAGATATATAGATACAAATATATTTGCTTGTAAGATATCTCTGGAAGGAAAGAGCTGAAACTAAAAAACAGTGGTTTCCTCCAAAGAAGGAACTGCATAGCTGGGAGACAGGGAGAGAAGGTTTACATTTAATACTCTTGTATAATTCATGAATTTTGAACGATGTGGATATTTTTCCCAGTCACTAAATACATTCTAAATATAAAAGAAAGAAACAAATAATTTAAATTTTGAAAAAAAGCAATTGGATTTTCACAGTTAAAAGAAAAATGTTTGGTCAAGAAGTCCAATGCAATTTATAAAACCAACAAATAAAAATATTTGAGAATTCCTTCAATCTGTCTTATTGTCTTGAAAGGTAAAGCTCTCAGAGAGAGAGGTGGGGGGGGGCGGGGGGGAGGCGGGAATATGAGAATATCAAGGAAATGCTGTTACCAAACAATGCATTTTGACATGCTTAAAAGACAAACAGGTTAGGCAACTGAGTTCAATCCATGGTTTTCATAAACAGAAGAAAGAACTCATTGGTACACTCTTTTAATCTGCTTTAGGACATAAGCAATTTAATAATTTTTCAAAAATATATTCCAACCTAAATTATACCAAGAATAGCGTGAAAATACTGTACTGTGGAAATTATTTTATACTATTCTAGATATTTCTCCTCCATGATTACTATGACATAGCTCATACAGTATTTTTTAAGCCTTATATCACCTGTATCTTCATATTTCTATGAGTCTGGATTCTCAAAATAATGTAACCATAAGACTAAGCAGATACATTGTCTGAACGTAAACCTAATGTTTAGTAACTCTCTTTAATTCAAACCAATATTCCAAACTGACAGACTCCATATAATGGCATCTCATCCCAAAGCCAAGAGGACAGATAAAAACAAGGACAATAAAAGAATGTGAATCCTCTGACAATATCAGCTACAACAAACATTAAGCACAGCCCAACATCTAGCCAGATCAATATAAATCCCACACTATAGCCTATTTACCTCAGTTCCTATTGCTTAATAATAGATGTCAGGCTATCAACAAAAAAAGCTAAAAGGCATTCCAAACGCAAGGAAAAAAAACAAAAAACAAAAACCACAGTCTAAAGAGAGAAGTAACCATCAAAACCAGAGTCAGATATGACATAAATGTTGGAATTATCAGACAGAAAATTTAAAACAACAATGATTAATATGTTAAGGGCTCTAATGGAAAAGGGAGATGACATGCAAGAACAGATGAGTAATGTAAGCAGAGATAGAACTCAAAGAATCAAAAGGAAAGGCTAGAAGTCAAAACACTATAACACTACAACAGAAATGAAGAATACTGTCAATGGGCTCATTGGTAGACTCAACACGGATAAAAAAAGAATCCAGGAACTTGAAGATATGTCAATAAAAACTTCCCAAACTGAAATGCAAAGAGAAACAAAGAAATAGAACAAAACATCCAAGAACTGTGAGACAATATCAAAAGGAGTAATATGTGTAACTGGAATACCAACCAGATGGAGAAGAAAGAGAGAATGCAGAATAAATATTTGAAATAATAATGGCTGGAAACTTTCCTAAAGTACTGACAAACACCAACCCACAGATCCAGAAAGCTTAGAGAACACCAAGCAAGACCTTAAAAAACAACAAAACAAAACAAAACACACAAACAAAAACACCTCAGGCATATAATATTTAGAGAAAACCAAACACAGAGAAGTTTGAAAGAAGCCAGAGAGAAAACACACCTTAGCTACTGAGGAACAAAGATAAAATTTACAGTGGAATTCTAGTCAGAAACCATCCATGTGGGATGTCTGACTGCCCCAGTCAGTTAAGCCTCTGCCTTTGGCTCAGGTCTTGATCTCAGAGTCCTGGAATCAAGCCCCACATCAGGCTCCCTGCTCAGTGCGGAGTCTGCTTCTCCCTCTCCCTCCCTCTCTGCCTCTCTCCCTGCTCATTCTCTCTCTCTCTCAAATAAATAAAATCTTAAAAGAAAGCATCCATGCAGAGTAGAGTGATATCTGAAGTGTTGAAAAAAACCCCGACCAACCTAGAATTCTACACACAATAAAAACATTATTCAAAACTGAAAAGATCACAATCTTAAACTTACATGTTTCATAGGATACTATCAAAGTAAAAAGACATCCCACAGAATGGGAGGAAAATCTGCAAATCATATATCTGACAACGGTATAGTCCTCAGAATATATACAGAACTCTTACAACTCAACAATAAATAGACATTAAAAGTAATGTCTATAATAAACAATAAAGACAACCCAATTGGGGTGCCTGGGTGGCTCAGTTGTTAAGTATCTGTCTTCAGCTCAGGCCATGATCCCAGGGTCCTGGGATCAAGCCCCACATTGGGTTCCCTGCTCCGTGGGAAGCCTGCTTCTCCCTCTCCCACTCCCCCTGCTCATGTTCCCTCTCTCGCTGTGTCTCTCTCTGTCAAATAAATAAATAAAATCTTAAAAAAAAAAAAAACGACAACCCAATTAAAAAATAAGCAAAGGATCTGAATAGACATTTCTCCAAAAAAGATATACAAATGACTTGGCGTGCCGGGTGGCTCAGTCGGTTAAGCATCTGTCTCTGGCTCAGGTCATGATCTCAGGGTCCTGGGATCAAGGCCTGCGTCGGGAAGCCTGCTTCTCCCTCTCCCTCTGTCCCTTCCCCTGGATCATGCTCGCTCTCTCTCTCATGTTGTCTCTCTCAAATAAATAAAATCTTAAGAAAAAAAAAGATATACAAATGACCAGAAGGCACATGAAAAAGATTAATCATTAAACTCATTAATCATTAGACAAATGCAAATCTAAACCATAATGAGATACCACCCAGGTATCTCACTGGGTGATCTAGGATGGCTATAATAAAAAAGATGGGCAGTAATAAGTGATGGCAAAAATATGGAGAAATTAGAATCCTCAAACATTCCTGGTGGGAATGTAAAACAGTGTAGACACTTTTGAAACAGTCTAGCAGTTCCTCAAAAAGTAAAACCATTACCTGGTTTTCCATTCCATTCCATTCCATTCCATTCCTAAGTATAGAGTCAAGAGAACTGAAAAACTTATGTCCACACAAAAATCTGTACACAAATGTGCATAGCAGCATGATTTATAATAGATAAAAAGTAGAAACAACTCAAATTTCTACGAACTGTATCAACTGATGAGCAGGTAAACAAAATGTAATATATCCACACAATGGAATATCATATAGTCATAAAAAGTGATGAGGTACCTACTACAACATGAACTTTGAAAACATGCTAAGTTAAAGAAGCCAGACACAAAAGGCCATACATTGTTTGATTTCATTTATATGAAATGTCCAGAATAGGCAAATCGATAAAAAGAAAGATTAGTGGTTGCCAGGGGCTAGGGGGAAGAAGGTAATTGGGAGTGACTCCTAATGGGTATGTGGTTTCTTTTTGGGATAATGAGAATGTTTCAGAATTAGATAATGGTGATGGTTGAACAATCTTGTGTATATGTATACTAAAAGCAACTGAACTGTTTATTTTAAAAGAGTGAATTTACTGGTATGTGAATTATATCTTTAAAAAACCACTGGAAGAATAAAGGAAGAAATAAAGACTTCCTGAGACAAAAACTGAGAATTCATTGCCAGGAGAACTTCCCTATAATAAATGGTAAAACAAGTTTTCCAGGCAGGAGCAAAGTGACATAGGTCAGAGACTTGCATTTCTATAAAGAAAGGAACAGTGGCATAGAAAGAATAAATGAAGTAAAATAAACTGTTTTTTCTTATTTTTAATTGATCCAAAATATGACTGTTAAAGCAATAAGAGTAAGAATGTATTGGGCTATTATAGCCTATGGATCCGTGAAGTGAACGACAGCAATGCCACAGGGACAGTAGGGATGAATGGGGAATAATCTGCTATAAGGGACCGGCACTGCATGGAAAGTGACAGGATTATCTGACGGTGGACTTAGATTATTTTATATGTAAACCCATATGCTAGTTCACAAGACAAGCCTCACTAAGTTTCAAAGAATAGGGATCCTTGACCACAAAGTAAAGGAGTTAGGAGTGAATTCAAAAATGAGTTAAAACTTAGGGCGCCTGGGTGGCTCAGTCGTTAAGCGTCTGCCTTTGGCTCAGGTCATGATCCCAGGGTCCTGGGATCGAGCCCCACATCGGCCTCTCTGCTCGGCGGGAGGCCTGCTTCTCCCTCTCCCACTCCCCCTGCTTGTGTTCCCTCTCTCGCTCTGTCTCTCTCTGTCAAATAAATAAATAAAATCTTAAAAAAAAAAGAGTTAAAATTCCTGCATATTTGGAAATTTAAAAACTTAAATACAGGTTCAAGAACCATAACAGATGTTTTAAAAAATTAGATACTAGGGGCGCCTGGGTGGCTCAGTCGTTAAGCGTCTGCCTTTGGCTCAGGTCATGATCCCAGGGTCCTGGGATTGAGCCCCACATCGGGCTCCCTGCTCGGTGGGAAGCCTGCTTCTCCCTCTCTCACTCCCCCTGCTTGTGTTCTCTCTCTCTAGCTAACTCTCTCTCTCTAATAAATAAATAAAATCTTTAAAAAAAATTAGATACTAATATTGATAAACAGTCCATATCAAAACTAATGGACTATACCACAATCCGTGTTTTGAAGGAAACACCCTTCAATACTTCTATAAAACTGATGAGTGCCTGAAAATTAATGAGCTACATGTCTACTTTAAGTTAGGAAGAGAACTACAAAACAAAAAGAAAGAAGAAAGATATATATGAATGGGAGTTACTGCAAATGAAAAAATATATATAGTAGAGAAAACCAACAAAGTCAAAATTTCATTCTTTGGAAAAACAATACCAAGAAAATTAATAAGCCTCCAGTAAAACTGAATAAGGAAAAAGAATGAAAGCACAAATAAATAATATTATGAATGAAAAAAGTAGGCATGATTATAGATACCACAAACACTAAAAAGATTTTAAATAATGCTATCAACAACCATATGTCAAAAAATATGAAAAGTTAGGTGCAATAAACTTTACAAAGAAAATGTATTTTACCAGGGCACCTGGTTGGCTTAGTCGGTTAAGTGTCCAACTCTTTGTTTTGGCTCAGGTCATGATCTCAGGGTCCTGAGATTGAGCCCCGCATTGGGCTCTGCACTGGGCATGGAGCCTGCCTAAGATTTCTCTCTCTTCCTCTGCCTCTGCCCCTCTTCTGCCCCCTTCTTCTCTCCCTCCCTAAAAAAATAAAAATAATAATAAAAAAGAAATTAAAATAAGAAAGAAAATGTAATTTACCAAAACAATGCAGACAGTTCTGTAAGTAGTAAGGAAACTGAAGGAGTAGTTAGAATTTTCCCATGAAATTTCCCATGAAGAAAACATCAGAAGAATGTCATCTGAAGAAATAGATCATCTTAAACTTAAACTCCTTTCAAAAGTAGAAAAGAAAGACTACTCTGAAGTCATTTCAGAAGACCTGCATAACTCTGACACCAATGCCATATGGAGTCAAAATTAAGAAAGAAAAATAAGGCCATTTCACTCATGAATATGGAATCAAAATTCTGCAAAACATATTAGTAAATCAAATCCAACAATGTATTGTTTTTTTTTCTTTTTCAAATTTTTATTTAAATTCTAGTTAACATATAATGTAATATCAGTTTTAGGAGTCGAATTTAGTGATTCATCACTTACATATAACACACATGCTCATCATAACAAGTGCCCTCCTTTTTTTTTTTTTTAAAGATTTTATTTATTTATTTGAGAGAGAGAGAGAGAGAAGAGCACATGAGAGGGGGGAGGGTCAGAGGGAGAAGCAGACTCCCTGCCGAGCAGGGAGCCTGATGTGGGACTCAACTGAGTCACCCAGGTGCCACAAGTGCCCTCCTTAATACCCAACAGTGTATTAAAAATAAAACACCTTGACCAAATTAGGTTCATCCCAGTATGTAAGGGCAGATTGTTTGTAAAACAAATACAAAAACAAAAAACCCCCAGAAACTATAAATGTTCCTTATTACAATAATTTTAAAAAGAAAAAAATATATAATTACCTCAATAGGTAACAGATAAAACATGTGCTAAAATTCAGCATGAACACATGATTAAAAGCTTTAGTAAATTAGGAATAGAAGAGAACTTCCATACCCTAATAAAGTGTATTTGAAAAAAAACTTACAGGAAGTGAGAGAATAATGAACACAGAGTTCAGAATGGGTAAATGGAGAGAGGGGGATGAGGTGGGAAAGATACATGAATGATTGTCAAAGTCCTTTTTTTTTTTTTTTAGAGAGAAAGAGCGCATGCGTGACTTGCAGGGTGGGTAGGGGCAGAGGAAGGAAGAGAAAGAATCTTAAGCAGGCTCCATGCCCAGTAGAGATCATGACCTGAGCTATAATCAAGAATCAGACGCTTAACCAACTGAGCCACCGAGGTGCCCCGAGGTCCTAATTTTTATATTGAATATGGGCTCCCGTGGATTCTTATTCTATTACTAAAACCAACTGAACAAACAAATTCATGGACCAGTGATGAGATTATGTCATAACCAGTGAGTCTCAAAGGGTAGTTCCTGCAGATCTGCATTACCTAGAAACTTGTAACACATGCAAATACTCCAGCCCCACCCCAGACCTACTGAGTCAGAGACTTTGGGGGTTGGGCCCAGCAACATGTGTTTTAATATGTCCTCTAGGTGATTCTGATGCATGCTAAAGACTGAGCAGAGTGATCATAAATCATGAATTCTAGAGTCTTTACACCTATAGTCCAATTAACAAAAAGGAAGCAAGCACAGCTGGTGGATGCTGTGTATTTGTTTCATGGGGATAACCATTGCACTTTCTCATTTAATTGAGCTTTAAACCAGATTAGAGAGGACTTGAACGTGACTCCCTTTCTTCCTGATGCTCTGGTAATAAATCTAAAAGGGAAAAAATGAGGCCTATTACACTATTAAAACCAGCAGTAATTCCTAACACTAGAAACTTGCTGCAAACCCCTCAATGTAGTGTCAGATTTTATTATGTAGATCTAAAGTCAGAACCACTTTTAGGAAGTAGCATGTCTTCTGCAAATGGGGAGAAGAGCCTCCAACAGATTTTCCTACGGTTTGAAATGAGGGGAAAAAACATTGGTTCAACATAGCACTGGCAACTTTCAGAAGATAAAAATCTGGAGAGGAGAAAAAATGTAGAGTCATGTGTTGAGAACTACTGGACATTGCAGTTTTGGAGATGTAGCATTTCACTGCGAGAAAGTCCCACTAACAGCATCTTGTCTACGAATAAGCATCATACCTTATGAACTTCTGCCAACTCATGGTCCATCCTTGCTGCCCTCTTGAGAAAACCAGCTTTCGTGGTAGTGACTTTTGGCTTTGGAGGTCTAATTCGGGGTTGTGTCACAAAATCTGGGAGACATGACTCAAGTTCAACTAATCCTACAGGAAGGAAGTACATGATTTTAATATTCAGTGATTAAATTTAATGCTTTGAAGGCATATTGTTAATTTTAGTAGCTGTTTGCCAAGTGGTTTCATTTAGAATTATTGATAAGATATAGTTCACATAATTGACATGGCCCCAACATGTAAAGCAAATTTCTGCATAATTAACTCATATTCTCAGTAATTTAGACCATAAAATGAGAAATGCATTCTTTTTTTTTAAAGATTTTATTTATTTATCTGAGAGAGAGAGAGAAAGAGAGCACACAAGCAGGGGAAGGGGCAGAGGGAGAAGCAGACTCCCCACGGAGCAGGGAGTCCAATGCAGGGCTCGATCCCAGAACCCTGGGATCATGACCTGAGCTGAAGGCAGACGCTTAACTAACTGAGCTACCCAGGCACCCCAAGAAATGCATTCTAATTAAATATTTCCCTACAGAAAAGTAATAAGTTCTGTGATAATAGCCAACAGAAAATTGGTGATCATATGATACATGGGACCACCATTCTGTAGTGGATATACACCAATTTATCATACTGTGCTCTGGAGATGATCAGCCAGAGCTACAAGTTCAACATTGTGACCATCAATTCATCATCTTGGCCATGAATCCATGAATCCATAAATTTATCCCCTAGTTATCCATTTTCTTGCCCACTAGTTTTCTAGCACTTCTTCTTAAAGACTGATTTCATGATATATTCCTTGTTTACTTTGTAAACATGGTATAAAAGTTTATTCGTTTCATTTTTGTGAAATGAGAAATTATTAGTGACACTGAACATGTTTAAAGGTTTAGTAGCTAAACACTGCTATATTGTTATACAATATATCCATTTACTTATTTTTTTAAGATTTTATTTATTTGAGAGAGAGAGTGAGAGACAGAGACAGCGAGAAAGAGCACGAGTGGGGAGGAGAGGGAGAAGCAGGCTCCCTGCTGAGCGAGGAGCCCAATGCAGGGCTTGATCCCAGGACCCTGGAATCATGACCTGGGCCGAAGGCAGCAGCTTAACCAACTGAGCCACCCAGGTGCCCCAGTATATCCATTTATTTACTTGGGTCTTAGGAGTTTTTATTGATTTATATGAACTTGTATTAATAAAATTAAATGTGTTCATTGCTATTTCTTGAAAATATTATTTGCTGTTTAGCCTTTAATCTAATACTTCCCTTCTAGTACTTCAATACTCCTCTTATACTGGACTTGTAATTATGTAAATTGCTTACCTTCATAGGTGTTGAGATAGTGGTTTTTTACCACAAAGTCCTCTGAATTGTTGTCAGGGAAACGACCAAGACGAGACAGAGGTCCATAGACCTGTGATGCATAATCACAATAATCCCTGATGATATTCCTTCTCTCCAGCTTCCCTTCTATATTCTTTCCCTTTCCCACAAGTTTTCTGATCGCTAGAATAAAACATACCTCTGTGACTATCTTCAAAGTATTGTTCTGAATAAATGCATAATAATAAACCAGTTCTACTTTTATTCACAGGGAAGCTACTGAACTGAATGAATTTCATGATGACCACTCACTGCAGCCAGGTCTGTCATCTGTGTGGCCCAGAGCATCATGAGACAAGTGGGAGTGACAGAAGCTGAGTCAATTAGCATCCTCAGTTGATACTCATCAAAAATCTTTTATAAGTGCATTCCAAGCTCTGAGGCAAGAAAGGGTATTCAGTAAGTTTGTCAAGCTAATGAAAGAAATTCAAAGTAACCAAAAAAAGACCTGGTCAGTGGAGATTTGGAGAATTATTTTCTCCTAGGAAAATAATTGCAAGGGAGGGAAGACTACAGGTTCTTCAATAATCTCTTTTCATCTTGGCTAACAACAGAATAAAACATAATGTATCCCAGCTTAGAGCTTTCAGAACTGTTTGGCCGACAGAGGGAAAAGGCTCAGCTGTGCACTCTAAGGAGTCATGCTTCCTACCTCCGCCTGCTCCTTTTCTTTCAGTCCTATCACAGATCCACCCCGTTCGAGGGCTCCACGCTGTGCACTCTCAATGGGTGAAAATCATACTGTGGGATAGCAAAGTCTTATCGTAAGAGGCGGCTGCATGCACCACAGCTGCCTTGTGGGCATTTATGTTTGATTCTCCATGCTTTTGTGTGTGACTTGGGGTTATTTATCTTTTTTTTTATTAGTTTCAGAGGTAAAATTTAGTGATTCATCAGTTGCATATAACATCAGTGCTCATTACCTCAGGTGCCCTCCTTTAACCCCCTCCCCTCTAGCAACCCTCAGTTTGTTAGCTACAAAAGTTAGTCAGCTCATCATTAGTTATATCAAGTATGGAAATGAAAAAAATGTTGACAATATCTAACTGCATATCTCACAGCTATTTAAATGTTATTTTCTCACACACAAAAACGTTCAGGGGCAAAAAAGTGAAAGCAGATAACAGGCACCCGACTTATTGGGGGGTTCTTGAAGGCCTCCCTGAGGAAGTGACATTTGAGGTCGTCTTAGCCTGGTTCCCCCAAAGGCAGAGCCTGAGACAAAGGCATGTGTCAGGTAGTTTATTTGGAAGGCTACTGATCCCAGAGGGCTGGAGAGAGGGACAGGAGGAATTAATAAAAAAAAGTAATAATAATAAAATAAAATAAAAATAAAATAAAATAAGCAAGCTAGTCAACCCATCATTAGTATTGTGAAGTATTGAAAAGAAATTGTTGACAATATCTAAAGATCTAGGCATACCTAGCATCTAGTTAAAAGTTATTTTCTCACATCAAGAAAACGTTAAAAGTTAAGTTCACTGATAATAATTTTAAGGAAGTTTTATAATTGTTTTACTTTTGCTAGAAAAATAACAAATTTGATTTTTTTAAATATTGTGATTATTCTAATATGCATAGAAATGGCTAATTTGCATATAATTGATACATTACAATTTTATAAGTAAATTACATAAAAAGTTACTAAGCAAATAAAACTATAAAGTTAAATACTAATAAGTTAAAAGTTTTTAATTTAATTTTTATTCATTTTTATTATTTTTTTTGAGAGGGAGAGAGATAGAGGTGGGGGGCGGCAAGGGGCAGAGGGAGAGAGTGAGAGAGAAGCCTAAGTAGTAGGCTCCACACCCACTGAGGAGCCCAACGTGGGGGCTTGATCTCACGACCCTGAGATCATGACCTGAGCCGAAATCAAGAGTCAGACACTTAACCAACTGAGCCATGCAGATGCCCCTTTTTTAATTTTAATTCAAAAATTTTATATAGTCATTCCTAATCATCCACTGACTGCTCTTTTTATGTGTACAGATAGAGTACATAAACAGATAAACAGTATATCCATGGTATTAAAATTTCATGGAAGAGGGTGAGCAGGAGAAAAGATGTCTAAATGTCTCATTTAAGAGCAATAACAACAAAAAAAAAAGGTTGTGAAATAGGGCTTTCCATCCAGGACTTCAACCTATGAATATGGGAAGCCCAACCCCTTACACTTACCCCACCCCACACACAAACATATACAATAACATCACAATAATCACAATAATGTCAATAACTTGACTACCTGTTAGAACATCATTACTTGGCTTTCTTAGTGAGGAATTTTCTTCCACTCTTCTACTTTTGAGAAATAATTCATCTCCTTTACTTATTTAATAACACTAGGACTCAAGAGAATTATATCTAAATCAGGTTTGATCAAAGATTCAAAGCAAAGCCAACCCTCCCATTCTCTTCACTGTTCATATTACACCATTACCTGATACATGTGTGTGCTGAATCTGTGCCAATTTTGCCTCCTTTGCTTCCTGCAATTGACACCATCGGGCATTCAGGTGCTTCATGTTCACTTCGTTTTGATTCTCATCACGCTTTCTCAGCAGCTTTTTTAGAATTTCCAGGCGAATCTCCTGCAGTCTTTAAGTAAATCACCAAACATAAAGACCTATTTGGTATCCCAGAGTGTTCTACTAGAGAGAAGGGAAACACCTGCCATAAACAGGATCCTCTTTTTGGGCTGGTATCATATTCACGTACTTAAAAAGACTGCTCTGCCAAAAGTGTGACAAGTGGATTGGGTGTTTGGGGGACGCAACTCAATAGTGAGTCTCTCTATAAAAGGAATATGTATGAGCATATTTCTGAAATGCAAAGAAGAGTATGCCAGGTAAATAAAAGGGCTCTCCAGGCAGATGGGCCTAAATGAACAACAAGATGTTTGTGCACGGTTCCAGGCCCACAGGTATGGGCTGGGGAGTTAAGTAATATGAGTGAAGAGAAAATGAGGCAGCATGATATTTTAAGGAATAAATGTGAAAATGCCAGTGTCTGGCGCATACAGACATCCAATCAATCTTCGTTTCCCTTCCGCTTACCTTTAGCTTGTTCTCCTAGAGCTAGCTACCTTGCTCATGTGTATACAACAATGTACACATGACTTCAAAACCTGTACCTCGGGTGCCTGGGTGGCTCAGTCGTTAAGCATCTGCCTTCAGCTCAGGTCATGATCCCAGGGTCCTGGGATCGAGTCCCACATTGGGCTCCCTGCTCAGCGGGAAGCCTGCTTCTCCCTCTCCCACTCCCCCTGCTTGTGTTCCTGCTCTCGCTGTGTCTCTCTCTGTCAAATAAATAAATAAAATCTTAAAAAAAAAAAAAAATTTCAAAACCTGTACCTCCGGCCCAGGTATTTCTGAACCAGAATTCCTGTCTACTTGAATTTCCAGGTATCCCTTGACAACTTCAAGAAAAAACCCCACTCATTTTGTTCCCCCAGAAATCTACCCTTTCTTACATCTTCTTCCTTCCCCTAACAATTCCTCCTCTAAAACACTTCTTGCATCCATTCCCTAGCTCATGTTTTTATCATCCCTCTCCTAACTTGGACTCTAGTTGCTAATCTACTCTCTCCTTCCAATCTTGCTCCACACAGCTGTCAAGATTTTCCTTCCTAAAATAGACATTTGAACATTTTAATCTTACTTAAAAATTCATAGAGTAATTTATTCAGCTACTTATTTGTCAAATATTTATTAAGTGCTCACCAAATGCCAGGCAGGAAACAAACAATGATGAACAAGATAAAACGCCTTCTCTCAAGAAGCACTGTTCTATTGGAGCAGGCATATCAACTAGCATTTTATAAGGAGATAAATACCAGGCCAGAAGAATGAAGACTGTAGGAGAAGAAATGACAGAGCATCTATGTCTAGCACTATTCCCAGTGGATCCAGGAAGGTGGGGAGGGCTTCTTTACAGGAGCCATTAACTCTGTAGTCTTGAGGATAAACAAGGATTGAGATTTGCCACATAGACAAGGGAAAAGTGAGGCCTCAGCAGAGGAAAGTTCAACTCAAAGGACTAGAGACAGAGCTAACATGTCATACTGGTGGAGCTTCTCAAAGCAAACATACCGGGGAGGGTGGGGAAGTAGTGAAAAGTGAATATGGAGAAACAGGTGTTTTTAAAAATAAGCCACAAACCAATAGTCACCTTTCTCTCTGGACTTAGAAATCCTAAGTTCATTCTCAAATTCATCACTTACCTCAATTCCTTCAGTCATAAAATGGACATAATCATATCTGTCCCATAAGGTTGTTGTGAGCATTAGATGAGTTAATGTATACAACATGGTACAACAGTTGAGCATGCATCAGATAATCTGGAGTCGACCACCTGACTCAGTAGGTCTGGGATGGTGCCCGAAAATCTGGATTTCTAACAAATTCCCAGGTAATGCTGATGCTGCTGGTTTGTGGACCACAATTTGAGAACTAGTGGCTTGGAACATGGCTCCAACACATAGTAAGCACTCTGCAACTTAACATGCTCTGTGAATATCATCATCATCATCACTAATATTATCTACCTGATGGCTTCTTACTAACCCTTCAACACCCAGCTCAGAGGCTACCTTCTCACAATAATTTTCCCAAATCTCCACCCACCCCAAACAGAACGAGCCAGGAACATTTTAAATGTTTTTAATGCCCTTCTGATAAGCATATATCTCTCCAAATTGCAGCAATAAATTTAATTTTCTACAGACGGGATTGGGCACCCGATACCTACTTTGCATTCTTTAATTGCAAGCTTTTACCAAAACATCACACAGTCTGGATTCAGGGTTAATAGAAGGTGTTGTAAAAAGATAAACATATTTTGAATTCAGAACCACGCTGAGTCTCTAAGTGTCTTGGTTCTTAACTCTCTTTTGTGTAAGCACACCGTCAGGGGCTGTGGTGGCATTGCGATGAGCAGTGAAGTGCCTCAGCTCAGCCTAGGACAAAGGACAACCTCATCAAGTTCCCTTCCTTCCTTCCTTTTTTTTTTTTAAGATTTTATTTATTTATTTGACAGAGAGAGACACAGCAAGAAAGGGAACAGAAGCAGGGGAAGTGGGAGAGGGAGAAGCAGGCTTCCCGCTGAGCAGGGAGCCCGATGCAGGGCTCGATCCCAGGACCCTGGGATCATGACCTGAGCCGAAGGCAGACGCCCAATAACTGAGCCACCCAGGCGCCCCTTTCCTTTCTTTACTGCTAGGGAGTTGTAATTGTGAGGTTTTCATCCTTTCCACACATTCCAAGGACAGCCTCATTACTGAAAATACATTAGTTAAATGATTGAAAACCAGAAGTACCTCAGCATATTGTTATTTATGCACCGTGAGCTCATCTCTTAATTGAGGAATTCCACAATTTGTCTTTTAAATAGAAAATGCCCCATTAGCTGTAGCTAGAACCCAAGGTGTCCTGACTGTGAATCCAATACCGGGAGGAATAAGAGGATTAGCTAGGAGGCTGATGGATATGAAGAGGGCCTAGGCCCAGGCAGAGTGGCACTGGGAATGAACAGAAAGGGTCAGTTTGAAAGACTGATGAATGGATAAAGAAGATATGGCATACACACACACACACACACACACACAGGAATGTTACTCAGCCATGAAAAAATAATGAAATGTTGCCATTTGTAACAAAGTGGATGGAGCTAGAGTATATTATGTTGAGTGAAATAAGTCAGTCAGAGAAAGGCAAATACCATATTATTTCACTCATATGTAGATTTTAAGAAACAAAACAGATGAACATATGGAAAGGGGAAGAAAAAGGAGAGAGGGAAGCAAACCATAAGAGACTCTTACCAATGGAGAACAAACTGAGGGTTGATGCAGGGAGGTGGGAAGGGGATGGGCTAGATGGGTGATGGGGATTAAGGAGGACGCTTGTGATGAGCACTGGGTATTCTATATAAGTGATGAACCACTAAATTCTAATCCTGAAACCAATATTGCAGTGTATGTTAATGAACTATAGTTTAAAAATTTAAAAAGAGGGGGCCTGGGTGGCTCAGTTGGTTAAGCGACTGCCTTCGGCTCAGGTCATGATCCCAGAGTCCCGGGATCGAGTCCCGCATCGGGCTCCCTGCTCGGCGGGGAGTCTGCTTCTGCCTCTGACCCTCCCCCACTCATGTACTCTCTCTCTCTCTCTCATTCTCGCTCTCTCAAAATAAATAAATAAATCTTTTAAAAAAAAATTTAAAAAGTAAGATATTTCAGGGGTGCCTGGGTAGCTTAGTCAGTTAAGCATCTGCCTTTAGCTCAGGTCATGATCCCAGAGTCCTGGGATCAAGCCCCACATCGGGCTCCCCGCTCAGCGGGGAGCCTACTTCTCCCTCTCCCTCTGCAGTTCCCTCTGCTTGTGCTTGCTCTCTCTGTCAAATAAATTTTAAAACTCTTAAAAAAAAAAAGGCATTTCAGTGGGATTCTGTGATAGTCTAGAATTTCTCTAAAGAGAAAAAGGAAGGGGCGCCTGGGTGGCTCAGTCGTTAAGCGTCTGCCTTCGGCTCAGGTCATGGTCCCAGGGTCCTGGGATCGAGCCCCCCATCGGGCTCCCTGCTCCGCAGGAAGCCTGCTTCTCCCTCTCCCACTCCCACTGCTTGTGTTCCCTCTCTCGCTGTATCTCTCTCTGTCAAATAAATAAAATCTTTAAAGAGAAAAAGGAAGAGAAGAATCACAGATGTTTTGAGGAATTCTTCAAATCTGAGTTCCATGCTTAACTTTACACACAAGGAGGGCATTATACATTTTTATGTTGTTAGAGAGAAAATTATAGAGCTATTATTCCCAAAAGAAACAGAAACCCAACTTTCTATCTCTATAGGTAGAAGGTTGCTTTTAAACCCATACATTTGGGGAAATGCTTTACAGATAAAAAGTATTTACATTACTCCACCAGCACAGGTGCAACTGTCTGGGTAATCTAGAACTTACTTTTCAATCTCCTGCTCTCTGAAGGCCCACTCCTTCCTCTCCATCGCATTCATCATCCTCCTCCTCTTCTCAAACTGGGAGGTGTCACTCAGACAGGGAAGAGTGGCTTCCCAAGCACGCTTCTCCCGGGCACGTTCTATCATCTCAACCTCAGCTTGTCCTGCTGGGAGCCCTCGACCTGGATGATGAAGCAAAGCACTTTAGAAACATATGGACAAACTCATGTACCTTTCAGTATTTAGTTTATTCCCTTTCAGTTCCTGTCGTCTTGAACTTCAAGGATTATGACAAGACGAAATGATATTAGCAAACATCCTCCTGATGTACCTCACAGCTTGTTATCTGTGCCCTGTACTATCTCTTGTTAGTTATTCAGCCAGAAGACATTTTAGTTGCACATAAGATGCTAGACAGTATTTGAAGAATATCACGTGACTACTGAATAATCATACCTTGGAATGTCCTATATTAGACAAATCAATATTTTGAAATACAAGGAAATATCAAAGTAACTTACAGAAGGTCACAGCTGGTAAGTGGTAGAAATCAGGATTTGAACATTGCAATCTGACACTTGTGGTCTTATTACTACTCTATACTCCCTCTCTATTAGAGAAATGAAACAAAAATGAACTATATAGACAAGCCCACAGCTAACATCATACTCAACAGTGAGGTTGAAAGCTTTTCCTCTAAGATCAGGAACAAAACAAGAGCCTACTCTTATCACTCCTATTCAACATAGTACTAGAAGTCCTACCCAGAGCAATCAGGCAAAGAAGAAATAAAAGTCAACCAATTGAAAAGGAAGAGGTAAAATGGTTTCTGTTTGCAGATAACATGATCTTATATATAGAAAACTATAAAGACTATCAAAAATGGTTGGAACTAACAAATAAATTCAATAAAGTTGCAGGATATAAAATCAACATACAAAAATCAGTTGCGTTTTTATATATTAACAATGAACTACCTAAAAAACAAAGAAAATAATCCCATTTATAATTGAATCAAAAATAATAAAATAGGGGGGCACCTGGATGGCTCAGTCAGTTAAGCATCTGCCTTTGGCTCAGGTCATGATCCCAGGGTTCTGGGATTGAGCCCCTCCTTGGGCTCCTTACTCAGTGGAGAGTCTGCTTCTCCCTCTCCTTCTACCCTTCCCCACCCGGCTCGTACTCTCTCTCTCTCTCTCAAATAAATTAAAAAATCTTAAAATAATAATAGGAATAAATTTAACCAAGGAGGTAAAAGATCTATACACTAAAAACTATAAAATACTGATGAAAGAAATTGAAGATGACAAAAGTAAATGGAAAAATATCCCATGTTCATGGATTGGAAGAATTAATTTGTTAAAATATACATACTACACAAGGTCATCCACAGATTCAACACAATCTCTAGTAAGATCCCAATGACATTTTTTACAGAAATAGAAAAAACAATTGTAAAATTCATATGGCACCATAAAAAAAAAAAACAAACCCAAAGAGCCAAAGCAACTTGAGAAAGAAGAACAAAGCTGAAGGCATCATACTTCCTGGTTTCAAACTATATTACAAAGCTACAGTCATCAAAACAAAATAGTATTGACATAAAAACAAAAGCATAGACCAATGAAACAGATTCAAGAGCCCAGAAATAAACCCAGATATCATCAACTAATATTTGACAAGGGAGCCAAGAAAACTCAGTGGGAAACATACTTTCTTCAATAAGTGGGGCTGGGAAAATTGGATATTGGCATGTAGAAGAGTGAAACTGAATCCCTAACTTACACCAATCATAAATATTAACATGAAATGGATTAAATATTTAAATGTAAAACTCCTAGAAGAAAACATAGGGGAAAATCTTCTTGATACTGGTTTTGGCAATGATTTTTTGTATATGGCACCAAAAGCACAAACAACAAAGCAAAAATAAATCAAATGGGACATCAAACTAAAAAGCTTCTGCACAGCAAAAGAAATGAGCAACAAAATGAAATGGCAACCTATGGAGTGGAAGAAAATATTTTCAAACCATACATCTGATAAGGGGTTAATATCCTAAATATATTAGGAACTCCTACAAATCAATAGCAAAAACCAAAATAATGCAATTAAAAAATGGACAAAGGACCTGAATAGACATTTTTCCAAAGAAGATATACAAATGGCCAGCAGGTACATGGAAGGTACCCAACATCACTAATTATCAGAGAACTACAAAAGAAAAACACAATGAGATATTACTTCACACCTGTTAGGATACGTGTTTTCAAAAAGACAAGAGATAACAAATGCTGACAAAGATATAGAAAAAAGGAAACTCTAGTACACTGTTCACAGGAATGTAATTGCTACAGCCACTATGAAAAATAGTATGGAGGTTCCTCAAAAAATTAAAAATAGAGGTACCATATGATTCAGCAATTCCACTTCTGGGAATATATCTGAAGGATATGAAATTACTATCTCAAAGAGATATCTGTACCCCCCATGTTCACTGCAGCATTATTTACAGTAGCTAAGACATGGAAACAACTTAAGTGTTCATCAACACATGGATGTATAAAAAAAATGATATAAATGTATATAATTCCTATATAACATATTAAATATAATTGACATATATTGACTATAATATGTGATAAATTTTATTTTATATGCAATATAAAATATATAAAATTCAGCCATACAAAAAGGAAATCCTGCCATTTGTGACAACATGAATGAAACTTGAGGGCATTATGCTAAGTAAAATAAGTCAGACAAAAAGACAAATACTGTATGATCTCACGTATGTCTGGAATCTAAAAAAACTGAATTCATAGAAACAGAGAGTAGACTGATGGTTGCCAAGGGCAAGGGGTGGGAAAAATGGGTGAAAGTGGTCAAAGGGTACAAATTTTCAGTTATATGATGAATAAGTTCTGGATATTTAATATACAGCATAATGACTATAGTTAACAATACTGTATTGTGTACTAGAAAGTTGACAAGAGAGTAGATCTTAAATGTTCTCACCACACATACCAAAAAAATGGTACTATGTGAGGTGATGGGTCTGTTAATTAATATTATTGTGGTAATCATTTTGCAAAATATATGTATATAAAATAATCACATGGTATACCTTAAACTTACATAGTATGTCTATTATATCTCAATAAAGCTGGGAAAAAATGAACTATACATAAGTAAAAATATAACATTGTCTTTGATTTTTACATACATGAGATTTTACTATAAGTATTCTGCAACTTGCTTTTTTACTCAAGTTTGTTTTGGGGACACTAGTCACACTGATACGCAGAGATCTAAATTCATTCTTCCATTGTAGGACTCTAACACAATTTAAGCTATCTTCTAAAAATTGATGTTTTAGATTGCTTCAATTTTTTGATTACACATAGTAATGCTGCAATAAACATCCTTGTACTGGTCTCATGCCATATGCGAATTTCTCTAGCATCCTTAGAAGGATCTAAAGTCTAGCAGCTAGCTCATAAAATATAATCACTTTAAATTTTTCTGGATATTGCCAAACTTGCCTCCCAAAGGTATAATTTTGCTCAAGCCTTCTGAGATTCCCCTGATGCTCTCCCATAGCCCATGCTTCCTTACTTCCTCCCACATTGTTTCTGCCTAATCTCAGTTGCTTTTTGTAGTCCTAACAAATACTTAGTAGTAGTTCACAGATTTTTTTTTTTTTTTTAGTTTCACTGAAAGTGTAATTTGTGGGAGTTGTTTTGTGCTTGTTGCTTTTGTGTGATTTCTGGGACGAGAAGGGGAAAGATACTGATTTACATAGACACGGTTATACTGGGAATAGGGATTTGGATTAGAACTGCTTGAAGATATAAAATGTTTAGGGGAGAAATAATATCTATTCAAGCAGGAGTCTTACCATTTATAAACATGGTATGCTTCTCTCTCTCTCTTTTTTTAAAGATTTTATTTATTTGAGAGAGACAGAGAGAATGAGCAGGGAGGAGGGGCAGATGAGAGAGAGAGAAAAGCAGACTCCCCGCTGAGCAAGAAGCCCAATGTAGGGTTCGATCCCAGGAACCTGAGATCATGACCCAAGCCTAAGGCAGACGCTTAACCTACTGAGCCACCCAGGCCTCCCATATGCTTCTCTTTTTATCAAATCTTTGTTCACATGCTTAAGGAACACTATATTTTTCTCCATAATTCTGTGCACATGTTTTTAAGTGACTTTTTTAGGTTATTTGTTGCTTTAAGAATATGGTATTTTCAGGGACACCTGGGTGGCTCAGTCGGTTAAATGTCTACCTTCGGCTCAGGTCATGATCCCAGGGTCCTGGGACCAGGTCCTGCATTGTGCTCCTTGCTCAGCAGGGAGCCTGCTTCTCCCTCTGCCTGCCGTTCCCCCTGCTTGTACTCTCTCTCTCTCTCTGTCTCTCTCTCTCTCTGACAAATGAATAAATAAAATCTTTAAAAAAAGGAATATGATATTTTCAAATATTTCTAATCATATATTGCTCATATAGGAAAGCTACTGATCTTTGCATGTCATTTCCACAATCACCTATCTTGAACTCAGGTTCTTAGTTCTGATAATTTGTAATTTCATTTGATTTTCTAAATGAATAAATTGTCTGCAAATACAGTTTTGCTTCTTATTTCTAATCCTCATACCTCAAATTTTTTCTCTTACTGCACTGAGTCAGCATTTCTCAACCAAAGTGATAACACTGCCATACTGAGCAAACAATTATTTCTTGTATAGGACTGCTGAATGCAGGACAGGATATTTAGTATCCATGCCAGCCTACCTCCCAAACCCCACCCCATGTGCTAAATGCCAGGAGCACTTCCTAGAGCAAGAACTTGTGGGGAGATGGCAGAGTAGGAAGATCCTAGGCTCACCTCATCCCATAGATGCAACTAGATATATCCCTATCAGTGTAAATAACCAGAAAAAAAAACAAAGACTGGCAGAAGAGACTCTCCACACCAATATGTTGAAAAGAGACCACCCTGAGGAGGGCAAAGACATGGTGGGAGCTAAATGGACCTGCAGGACTGTCCACAAAAGGGAAGAATGCAGTGAGTGCAAAGAGGAACAGAACCCATACCAAGCACCCCAGGCACAGGGGACAGGCACCTGAAAAAGGAATCTCCATAACATTTGGCTTTGAAAGGCAGAGGGGTCTGGCTTTGC